TATGGGGACGTGGAGCAGGGTCACCTTGCTAAGCTCGAGGTTAGGGAAGGCCTCCCACAGGAAGCAGCTGCTGAGAGACCTGAAGGATGACTGGGAGTCAACCAGGAGGAGTTGTTGGGGGAAGTGAAGGAGAAACTCCAGATTCGGAGTGTGGTACATGCGAAGCCTGCAGGCACAGGTGTGGAGAGTTGGCACCTTCTGGGACCTGAGAGTCCAGCTGCTGGTTCGTAGGGATTTTAAGGGAGGATGCAGAGAGAGAGGAGCCTTATGGGCCAGCTCTGTGCTGTGCTAACCAGATGCTCAAGAGAAGCTGATCACATGCGCCAACTGCAGTTTGAATTCCTGGCTGGTCATCCTCACAGGTGTGGCACAAGCTCCATGCTAAGGGGCTGGAGGCCTGGAGGAAGAGGACGGCAGTGACCAACCGTGTGGGGGGGCGTTCCTCTCTCACCCTCTCTCTGACATGTGTGTGCATATGCTCCATTGTAAACACAGGAAAAAAAGGGCCAACAGAGTGTGGAGGTTAAGGCTGCTGGATCCCACATGGCTGACTGTATAGTTCAAGTCCTGGACTTGGCGGCCTGATAAAACACACCGAGTGCATGCACATGGTGCCCAAAATCCCAAGAGGAGATTGTGGTGTGGCCATCCCCCTAGGGGTAATTTCTCCCTTTCTCTCACTCTCTCCAGTGAGAGAGATGCCCTATAACAAACTAAAACAAACAAACAAAAGAGCCTTGAGAGGCAGGTTGGGGATAGGAGCTTGGTAATATTGGGTCCTCAGAATCTAAGTGATGGCGTGTTTTTCTGTGCAAAAAGACGTCATGACTTTTCCGACAACCCAATGGTAATCTTGGTAAGGAGAGCAGGGCTTTTTGTTTGTTTAAAGGTTTGTGCCAAAGGGCACACGTGCTCCCCAGAGAGAGAGAGACAGTGAAAGGAAAGTGAGAAATCACTTCCAGGGGGGATGGCCACACCACCTTTCCCTCTATCCTCCTCCTGGGATTTTGGGCATGCACACACACGTGCCCAGTGTGATTTTCAAGCTGACTTGAGCTGCGGTCAGCCATGTAAGAGTCCAGCGCCTTAACCACCATAGCACCTGCTGGCCCCAAGAGAGCAAGTTAGATATGGACGGCTATGTGGAGTCATCGCAGTGTCTCAGGCAGGAGGGTGACACTGTACAGAATTCAACTTAGCAAGATCTCTGGCGCCTCAGTGTGGCTGCAGGTGTGGAGAAGGGGTGGCAGGTTGGAGTGTGGGGTGCAGGGGGGCCCACAGAACATGTAGAGTGGTGCAGAAACCCTGGGGTGAAGGTAGTGCCTGTAGTGGCAGCTCAGGAGGGGGGACAAATGGGAGCAGATCTAAGTGAAACCTAAGAGGAGGAACTGGTGAGGTTTGGAATCGGGTTGGATCAGGAGTGCAGAGGGAGTGAAGAGGACTGGTAGTCAAGGCTGGCGCCCAGATGCGGGGCTTGAAGACCAGACGTGGGGTCACCACAGTGGCGCAGTGGTAACGCAACATTCTGCAGTGCTGGACCACGCGGGAGCGTCCTGGGCTCATGTCTGTCATGTCTTGAGGTCTTCCTGTACCTGCCAGGCATGCATGCCCGTGCCCGTGACCTGAGCTGCCTGGTGTGGATCGTGGTGCAGGGATCCTGTTGGGGGTGTACTTCTCTTTTGCTGCCTCATGAAAGAAGTAAACAAAACAAAACCCTGGAAGATGCTAGGTTCGTTTCAGACAAGTCGAGTTTGAGGTACTGTGAGATGTCCAAGTGGAGGCGTCATCCAGGCAGTTGGATATAGGGGTGTCGCATGCAGAGGTGGAAACAGACGTTATGATTGGGTGGTATCGCCCTGAGGGTCAGCAATTAAATGATGAAGGACTGGTCTCTGGGCCACTTAAAGATTTCCTATAGGGGGCAGCTAGTGGCGTGGTGGTTAAAGGCACTGGATTCCCCACATGGCCACATGGCCAACGGTGACTCGGGTCCTGGACCTGGTGTGGCTTACTTTATCACTTTCCCTCGCTCTCTGTTTTTCTCAGGTTAAATTAAGAAGTAAAAATAATAAAGTTGAATAAAATAATTCTTTTTTTTCTTTTTTCTTTTTTTGCTATAGGGTGTGTGCACTTGCCAGAAAGAGAGAGACAGAGAGACAGAAAGCAAAAAAACATCCCCCAGGGGGATGGCCATGCCACAGTCCCTTCTCCTCCATTCTCCTCCCAGGATCCTGGGTATGCATACACACATTCCCGACATGAATTTAAGCCACCGGGTTCAGGACTCGAACCACAGTCAACTACATGGGAGTCCAGTGACAAAGCCATTACTCCAACTGCTGATCCCTGAATAAAATAATTTAAAAAAAAAAAAGATTTTTGAGACCAGCAAATGGCATAATGGTTATGTCACTGGACTTCTATGTAGTTGATGGTGCTTTGAGCCCTGGACCGATGACTTAAAAACTCACGCTGGGCACGTGCGTGTGCCCAAGATCTCAAGATGAGAATGGAGGAGAAGGGACTGTGGTGTGGCCATCCCCCCTGGGCTGTGGTTTCCTACTGGGCTGTGATTTCTCACTTTCTGTCTCTCCATCTCTGGTGAGCGCACATACCCCAATAGCAAAAAAAAAAACTCTCAAAAAAAAAAAAAAAAGATTTCCTACAAATCATTAAGTAAAAGTGACCCAGTAGATAAGTAAGCAAAAAATATGAAAAGGTGTGTCAAAATGACTAAAAAAAAAAAACCACACACACCCAGGAAAATGTCTATCTTCACTTACAGTGATGATGGAAATGCAAATTTATGCCACAATGAAATACCATTTTACAGCCTTCAAATTGAGAAAAATTTAAAAGTCTGGCAATACCATAAGATACAGAGCAGCAGGCACTCTTAAATATTGCTACTGGGATGAGCACTTTGGAATAAAACTTGGCATTATCTCCCAAAGCTGGCAAAGTGCATAGCACAGAGACCTGTAATGTTACTGTCGCAGTAGCTGTGGAGAAGCCCTTCCACGTGTGTACTGGTCTGTACATTGTAGCAGCCGGAACATAGAAATCCAGCAGTGGCCATCAGTGGGAGAAGGGTAGGTCAGTTTGGATACATTCCCGAGCGGAATACTATACAGTAGTGAAAATGCACGAATCTGAGCGAGAAGGGGTCACCCTGGTTAAATCTCACAGTCACAGAAGAATACATGCAATGTGATACTATTATGCTAAGTTTAAAGACTTGCAAAATGATACTAGATACTTTTTGTTTCCTATATGAGAATATTCTTAAAGAAATGCATGAGGATGATACATGCAAGTTAATGTTTACCTCTGAAGGAGGGTTTCTGTTCCAAAGGAGTTTTAGTTTGATATTTTTTTTCTTGGGGGGGGGGTCACAAGTTTTTGTTTTTGTTTTTAATACTTTGCATTTCTGAACAGTGTAATAATTGTTTTACAGGAAAAAAATGGCACTTAGTAGGCACTCAGCAAATATTTGCATTATTGGCTGGTTCTTTGCCTCTGGGTTGGAGTGTTCGTTACTTCTTCTCAGAGTGTTTAAAAATAAAAAGTATTGGGACCAGCAGTTAGCGGAATGGCTATGTTGCTGAACTCCCATGTAGTTGACCGTGGTTCGCGTCCCAGACCCGGTGGCTTAAAACTCACGCCGGGCGCATGTGCGTGCGTGCCCAAGATCCCGAGAGGAGAATGGAGGAGAAGGGATTGCAGCGTGACCATCCCCCCTGGGGGGTGATTTCTCGCTTTCTGTCTCTATGTCTCTCTCTGTCTGGTGAGCGCACGCATCCTATAGTGAAAATCTCTCAAAAATAAATAAATAAATAAATAAAAAGTATTGGAGTACCAGGTGGCATGGTGGTTAAGAGTCTCACATGGGCAACTGCAGTTCAAATCCTGGAATTGGTGGCTTGAAAGTCCTGCCAGGTTTGTGTGTGTGTGTGTGTGTGTGTGTGTGTATCCAAAATCCCAGGAGAATGAAGGAGAAAGGATTATGGCATGGCCATCACTCCCGAGAGGTGACTGACTTCTCACTTTCTCCAGCAAATGCACGCGCCCTATGGCAAAAACCTAAAAAAAAAAAAAAAGAATAAACTTAAAAAGAATGAATCTGTGTGGCTCCTGGGGGGCCGTAAGATGTAATTAAAAAACAGATT